CAACACATTCCGCTATTACAATAGTGTTATCTGTAAACCGTATATTATTGATTTCTCAACCATTTAGTTTTCCACAAGGAATCTACGTTCCTGTAGTTGGCTGTATACGATATATTAAAAAAATTATTAAAAATCCTTTGTAAAAGGTATATATTTAGGCCCAAACGGGCTAAGTTAAAAAGACAAAACGTTTTCAGAAATGGATTCATTCATTCATTTCGGAAATAGATATGGATTCCGAAAACGTTTTGTCTTTTTAACTTAGCCCGTTTGGGCCTAAATATATACCTTTTACAAAGGATTTTTAATAAATCATTTAGTTTTATTCCTGTAGTTAGTCCTTCTAGTGCTTCCTGGTTTTATTTTATTCCTATTTATTTTGAGTTTACATTGAACAGAGTAGGAGACAGGAGTCAGCCGTGTCTGACAGCCCTAAGAATCCGTAATTTCTTCTAAAAAATGTTATTCTCCTTTAGCACAGCTATTTGATTATAATAGAGAGAACTAATGATCCTGATGTCTCTCATGTCTAAATTTTTCTTTTCAAGTAATTAGATAAGACGATTATGTCTGACCTTATTAAAGGCTTTTTGTAATCCAAAAAACACGTACACTGGTTGATTAATAAGTACATAAATATATAAATACTGTTAGTCGTAAAGTACATTTTCAACGGACAGTTCACAGTGCATTTCTAAATCCAAATTGTGTGTCCCTAATGTTTTGCTCAAGTTTGTTGTGTATTTTCCAGTGTAGGTATAATTTTTAAAAATATTTTGAGCACATGACTCATTAAACTTATTATTCAGTGGCATTCTTGGCATTCTTTTGTGTTTGGTTTTTTGGCAGTGTTATAAATGTAGCCGTAAACTATCACTGTACTGATAACAAACTGTATAGCTACAGAATATCGATTTACATTGAAACCTAAATTCGTGTACAAAATAAAATCATAAATGTATAAAGGAACATAAACAAAAGAACAGATCTTTGAAATATATCAGATAAAATATTATTACCATCACATTTTCACTATTGAAATTGTTGATCATATGATGGAAAACTTATAATAAATCAACAATACAAAATATACCAATGTTATGTTCACATATGTATAGACCTCGTATCTTTACACTATTTATTGAAAATATCATACCAATAATGACCTTATGGTTATGGTAATGAAATATATAGCACCTACTTAAATTTTTTGTCTGGTATAGCCATATTGAACACGTCTCGAAACGAAAGACGCGTTCAAAGGCATTAACTGGGCAGATAAAGGAATAAATGTTAATGGAACAAAACTACAGAGGCAATTATTTCAAGCTTCGGAAAAAGTAGGTCTTAAAATGAATTTGGAAAAAACAAAAATAATGACAAATACACCGAACGTTAGAGAAATAACGTTCAACGACATAAATGTAAAAACAGTAAGCGAATACATCTACCTGAGACAGATAATGAAAGTTAACAAAGAAAATCAAACTGCCGAAATTACCAGAAGAATAAGATTAGCGTGGGCAGGATTAAAATAGAACAATATTAGAAAACCAGAATTTACGATCAGTGTATCCTCCCTATACTCACGTATGGCTCACAGACGTGGACACTTACCAAGTCTAGCATGGATAAAATTGTAAAAGCACAAAGAGCGATGGAAAGATCAATGCTCGGGGTGAGACTTATAGACAAAAAAACAAACAAATGGATTAGAAGCAAAACCAAAGTAAAAGACACAGGAGAACGTGCTGCCAAATTAAAATGGAGCTTCGCATGACACAATTCCCGACTGAAGGATAAAAGATGGAATCACGAAATACAACAATGGAGACCATGGTTAGGAAAGAGAAGCAGAGAAAGAACACAAATGAGATAAGCTAAAGACATTAAGAAGATCGGAGGACACAACTGGAAGCAAGTGGCACAAAATAGAAAACACTGGATTGATTTGGGGGAGGCCTATGTCCACAGTTGAATTACTTTGGAGAAGAAGAAGAAGATAGCCATACTGTTTTGGTTTTTCACAAATCAATAAAATAAAAATTGACAACTTCAAAAATTCGCTTCATCTTTCATGAATTATTTTTTTACACCCACAATTTACAGCGCTAAAGATCTGCCATTATATATTGATCATTGCTAAATATACAGAAATCTCTGACATTAAAATTTAAGTACCTAATTATTATATAAACAAGTATAAATAAAATTCATTTATAATTTTATTGTAAAATAAAAACAAAGACTAGAAACAGCTGTATAAACTAACAACTATGTTTATGAACTGTGTACAAAATAAAATACTTAATTAAGATATTTTTGTTGGTTAACGAAATAATACTGAACTAATTTTCCGGTTCGAAATGGTTATTAGCTTAATTTAGCCGCAGAAAATGTATCATTGTTGGTTTTATTTAGTTGAAGGCTAAAAATGATCAATATTGACAAAATACACAGAAAATATAAAAATATCTTTTATCATATATTAAATGTACAATATTTGTTGACCAATAATAAATATAAAATATTTGTAGTATGTATTATATTTACGTTCCATGAATCGTTTTTAATTACTACCGGAAAAGCTACCGCAAATGAACAATTATTTTACATGCTTTTTAGATTTGTTTGTTTTTTTACTGTGAGTGGCTACTCTTTTAGCATTAGCATTATTTTCTTCCATATCAAGGTATCTGTAGGTTGGTCCGAGCCAACATTGAAATTTTCGCTGGGTCTGAAAAGAGGCGTCGCATTTCGTAGTGCTCGATGACGAACTACTTCGACAATCTGTTTAGTAGCAAACCCTCTCTTGACAATTAGTTAATCGGCTACTTTTGGATTTCGATAGCCTCTCTGAACATCCAAATTGTAGTGTGACTGAACAGCGGTTATATTTGAATAAAATTTGCTGGTTTATTTTGTATGAGGGTGTGTTCTGCAACGGCTGATGTTTTGCAATGATCCAAGTAAGGAAGTAACAGTTTCTCTCTTGTTCAGTCAAACGAGTATTTACCTACATGTTGTTTTTCTGTATACTGAATCACAACTACGGGCTTACACTCCTTTATAATACAGAATAGAACAGACATTTATAGAATGTTAGCTCACAGTTAACATCAAAATATACCTTTTTTACACAATATCTGATATGTGTCATTTTAGACTTTCAAAAGTTTCTACTACTGGGCCTACTGATGGGATATATATATATATATATATATATATATATATATATATATATGACTGAGACCTCGGAAGCCCTGAGGAAGGCATCAGAGAGGATGCCGAAAGCTTGGCAAAATGGACAACGACGCGGTTCAACCCGGAAGACTGGTGAGTTTGATATTAATTTTAGTAATAATATTAATCTTAGCTCTAGTTTATATATATATATATATATATATATATATATATATATATATATATATATATATATATTGTGTTCCACGAAACCGCTCTCCCTCTCTTACATACAATTGTGAGTACCTGTCTCTATTATTTGTTGTTGATTATTTGTCTGTTTCTAGTTGTTTATCCTTGTTTTGTAGATTACAACTTACTGCCTAAATGTATCTATAATCCCTTAGTGATTTTGGAGACTTGTGGGCTTGATTCAGAACTGTTTTTATTATTTCTGCAATAGTCATATTGTAATACGCGTTAGTATTTTCTGATTATGTCTTGGTTTTTTGCTTGCTTTATTCATCGTGTCGAGTTTTAGAGTAGCTAAGAGGTGTATTTGCGTTATATATTATTGTTAGCTATGCATTAATATGGCGACATCGATAATGTGCAGAGACTTTTGTTTTCGATAGGATTATATACAGTACTAGCCAAAAGTCACCTCTCCCCTCATATCTCATATTTATAATAGCGAAATTATGCTAACTTAACCGGTGAAGTTTATCTAAAGATATTAGAAAACGCAATTGAACCGTTAATTCTTGAAATTCTTCAAAGCAATCCAGATGAGATCGGCAACGGGAAATAACGTTTTAACAAGATGGTGCTTCTATACACTATTAGGGGGTAATAAGACTTTACCTAGATGAGGAATATCGTGGTAGATGGATTGGACGACGAGGTTCGATATAATTGCCAGCTCGGTCACCGGACCTCACGCTATTAGATTTTTTCTGTGGGGTACTTAAAATCTAAGGTTTACGCTACACCACAGGCAGTATTGAAATTTTGACACAACGAATTGTTGAAGAATGTAGGACGATTTCTCCCTACACATTTGAAAGAGTATGGCAAGAGTTTAGCAATAGGATGCATTTTAAATACTTAATATAAGAACTAGTTTAGTATTTATTTGATTTATTCGTGAAAATTAGCTTAAACCCAATAAAATTGGTATGATTGAGTAGGTATTTTTAATATCTTTCGAACGAGACATCACTTGCCATTAGGTCACATTTAAAATTATTGGTCACAATGGCTTTGTACCATCATCTATAACATTACGTCACCTGTTATGACTAGTTGAGAAGCCTACGTTCGTTTATTTCCTCCTTCCAAATTTCACTATCGTAAGTAAAACCGTTCAAAAGATACGAGGGAGGAGAGGACTTTTGGCTAGCACTGCATAAGGGGAAAATAAAGAAGTTACACTGCTCATTGCTGTGAAAACTTTACAAGCAAAGTTTACAGACTAAAAAATAAGACTTAGCATTATTACACTACTGGTCAATTTTTCGTCTGGAAGACTAAATACGTTTATAAAAATAGTTTAATAGCATTAAGCATAAATATAATATAAATATGATAAAAAAATAAAAATAGCTTTCGTTGAATTGTAATATTTAACAATATTTATTACAATTTAGTTAAGCACTTTAATGTGTATCGTGGTATTTGTATTATTTTTGCTTACAAACCGAACTGCATATCACGTAATTAGATAAGAAGCTCATGATATTCACACAAAAATTTCCAGTTTTAAACAAAATATGTACATAATTAATTATAAAATGCAGCATAATGAAACAAATATTGATAATTTTAAAAATGTATTCTTTTTCATATAATAGGTTCAACATTCTCTAAAAACAAATATACAGACGAAATAAAATGTAAATTAAAATGTGATTTAAAGATAGAGTGAATAAGCTTTTTAGTCTCTAATTATTTTATACCATCCACTTCCTCTTAGGCAGTAGCAATTTATTAACCCCTTGTTAGACGCAATATATATTACATTTTAAAAGAAGGTAGGACTATACATAAGTACAGATAGTTAGACATTTTCAAATTTTTATTGTCACATCTAGTATACTAAAATGTATTAGAAAATTATCATGCCACATGATATGTCAAATTTTATACAAAAATTATATTTTAAATTTCCTGCCAAACCATTTTCTTTAAATTTCGTTTGCATGGCTTTATCAAAAATTGGATGTAAATGTCTTGGGGTAAAGGTCACAAAAGCGTTTAATAAAGTTTTGCACAATGACCTTACATATAAAAATATGGAATTCTTCATCCTACTTCTTAATTCTGCAGCTCAATCTCCATGATCGGCATTAACAAATAAGCCAGTATCCGACAAAGAAGTATTCTTGTGAAAATGTTGTATTTTACATTCATTTGTAGAACATTCTGCCATGAAGGGTCAATACTTCACACACTTCTTAACAAAAAGAAAATAATTGGGTCTCCAACTAGATAATATGTATTGAATATTAGGTCTAAAATAATGATTATCGAATCAATCAAACTTGTGGATCGAAATCAAATCGATCGTTTGTGATAAGGAATTTCAGAATTCCTTAATTCAAATCTTCAGTAAGCTCAAGGACCAGCAGACAGCTAGCAGTCCAGCAACGGAGCTATTACTTCCTGCTGCTCACAAAATACGCAGACTTGCATTTGTCCTTGAACAAGTCAATTGGACAATAGACAATTGGAAAAAAGTATTGTTACAGATGAGTGTAGAATATCAATCAAGTGGGGTCTATAGAAGGACTGTAAACGTATGTATTCGGTCACACCGGGTTGCTTTTGGTATAGGCTTAGTAATGTTTTGGGTAGGTGTTTCTTTTGAGATATACACGGATATCGTCCTGATTGAGATAGGCCTATATTAAGAGCAGACAGATACATAACGGAGATCCTACATCATATGATGAAATATGCGTGATTTATTGACAATGTTTTCTGCTAATGCAAAATAATGCGAGTTAACATATGGCTAGGATTGTAACTCAGTATCTTGAATAGTCCTAATCCTATTGAGAATATATGGAGAATACTCAAAAAGGTGTACAAGATGGTACGTACAAATTTTCAATACATTTATTATGCTGTCAATTTTTTAATTGTTTTTGATTTGTTACTCACGATAATGTCGGATCATGTGCTACATGAGTATCGGACTCAATACACAATAGATTTAATGTGATAAAAATAAGAAAAAAACATCAAAAACAGGAACTCAAAAAACATCCTAACGTTCTCACATAACTGAAATACTCTAACTGATTTGGTGATCAAATTCTATGCCAGCCTTATAAACATATATAGGAATGTCACTGCACATTTTTTTCTTAATGGAAGTTAAATCCCCTTCATTAAATAAGCTAAAAGATTTTCACCTATCTTCAATTTTACCTGATTATGCATGCATGGATTTCATTATTAAACCTAAGTACAAAGCCATTTCTTTTACATATTTCCGTGAAGTGACATTGTAAGTTTGATTAAAAAGTTGTATTAAAATAGTTTATACTTTAAGTATTAAAGTCTAAAATCTTACTACAAAGTTAAGGCTGCTTATATTTTGACTAGTTTCCAAATGAAGAATGTTAAAACAATAAATTTGTTTCTTAAAACTTTCTATATTACCTCTTTATTCAACCTGTCATGAGTTAAATTCCACTTCAATTGCGCCCTGCGCCGTTTTTTTTTTCTCATAAAATATAGCAAATTATTTGTTTATTTTCCTAAGTGTATGCAATTTACAAAATGAAAACATCAGGTTTATTCCTGTATTCATACTTCGGGAAAGTATAATATATATATATATATATATATATATATATATATACATTCGTATGTACATGGATATAAAAATGTACATGGAGTAAAAATGAAATCAAAAATTTTATATAATCAAGATTATGTCTCATAAATTTAGATACACACAACCTAATGTTAATTGAGATTGTTCGTAAGAAGTAAATATAACTAAAGTAATATAATAATATTCAGCATTAATATGTCTTTCAATTTCGCAACACTCCCAACTAATTCTAAAAATATAATTTTTATTACTTACATTCAATTTCCATGGGAGTAAAATAATTATTTTTGATATCAGTATGTCAAAACTTTTGATCGTTCTTGTTTAAATAATAAAAAAATATAAAAATTTGAGATAAAATTTACATTGTTTTTTTTTTAATTATATCGCCTTGCATTCGGTTTATTTAAACTAGATATCTTAAATGAGGTTTTCACGGCCATAGAAAGAATCTAATCGTCTTCTGGGTTTGGACCATGGCGTTTTTGGACATGTCTGTGGGTTTATCTCAACGTTTTATTCTGTAACTTCTCCAGGAGCATCAACAACTTGTTGGTTACGATAAACCAGGAACTCATGCCCAGAGGCGAAAACCAAGAACCGAGGTAGCGATTTACGCAAATTATCAAATGTGTCCAGAGATAAAATGTGCATCTCAGAAATCAGTTACGTATCTACAAATGTAGCGTTAAGATTGATCCATATAAGAGGTTGCCCAAAAAACACACCGTCCAAACCAAGAATATGATTAAATGATGGATTTCTTACAGAAACTATTGCTATTATGCGTTTGATTGCTTCAATGGAAAAAAATACATGGCTTAATATGAATATATGATTTTTCTGTGATTGACTGGATCATTAGCCGACACGAACCTAATGGAATACTTGTCTACATATGTCTATATATATATATATATATATATATATATATATATATATATATATATATATATATATATATACGGCATCATAAGATACAGCTTGCTACAGACAAGATGAGAAACATCAATTCGTATATCGATGATAGCTTTCAGCCGTGTAATGCAGTGCCAAACAGACGAGATGTGAATATCCATGTTCGTATGTTCTTTGCAAATTGTTTGTTTAAAATAGAAAATTGCAAATTACTTTTGACGCGCGTTTGTAGATATCATATGACCATATCAGGCACCATCTTGTTATCTTTAAAGAAAAGAGACAAACAATGTCATTGTAATACGTTTTTTTTCTATTTTATTCACAAACTCACGCATATATATATATATATATATATATATATATATATATATATATATATATATATATATATATATATATATATATGTGTGTGTGTGTGTGTGTGTAAGTATTCAATGACATGAGAAAAAAACAAGTAAAAAGTAACATTTGACTTCCATGCTACATTCATCAATGTTTTTATATACAACTGATCACATAAATTAAAATTGTTGATATGCACATACATATATTTTTTGTAGGATGGTAACAATAATTGGTTCACTTCATATGCTTACTCTACCAACGATTATAACAGGTATGTCACGATGATGATTTTTTAAGGTGTACTTCTATGGCCGATTTTCCAGCAAGCACTCCATGCCTCTCTATTTTATTCCAAACAGTGGCCATTAGAAGACAAAATGCCCATCCAAGTCCAATTAAAACCTTCAGAATATTATAGAGTACTATGAAACCTATAGGAACGTCAAATGTGAACGTGACTATCAGTGAACAGAAAAGTATGATACCTAAAACGGAGTAGAGAATTTTATGTGTATATATACTAGCTAGACCACGGTCTAATATTAAAATAGATTCATGTAAGATGTTTTGCAAGTCGTGTTCGTTCCTAGAATAGGTCATAGCCGCCTTTTTACTTATTTCTAGAGTCACTTCCACGGCTTCGTGGTCAGAATAACTAAAAGTACATTGAGGAACACGGTCTGGCAGGGGCAGTCTATAGTTTCTCATTTCTACCTGAAGTTTTGAGCCTGGATGGTACATGATAAAGTCTATCCGCTGTCCTGGAATCTTCTGCTTCACATAACTGCTGGGTGTATAAGTATTTCTTAGACTTTCACATGTTGCTATGTGTTCTTTCGGTACATTTGCATATTCGAAGGAGTCTACTAGACCAGGTATGATTAATATTAGCCTGAAAAGTTCGTTAAAATAAATAAAATAATCAACAGATACAATCACTGCAATTTTTTTTTCAAAACTGATTTAACATTAACAAGAGCCAACTATGTATAATTTAAATCAAGCAATAATCGCATATATGCCTAAAACTTTGCTCTTACAAGGGCTGATCTTTTTGCATCGTCCCTGGCTCTTACAATAAAAAATTAAAAAATATCTCATATTTATAAAATGTAAATAAAATTATTTTGCATTGAAATAAAATTATTATTATTATTATATTAAAATTTCCTGCTGAAAATTGCATCTTGAATTTTGCAGCAGTGGTCAACCTTGATGTATCTACTCTTTGTTCTGTATTTTGTTTTCTGTACATCCTATTGAATTTAGGGCTCGTCCATTGTCACTCCGTTATATTATAACAGATATTGCAAATGTCTTTTCGAATTTGCTTATGTGCAATTCAGCAATAAGTATATATTATATACCACATAGTATAAGAGACCAATTACGTCTATTATTTGTCTAATAACCACACGCCAATCATGCAACACGAGATCATGGACATTTTGTAACATGTTCTTGTATAGTAGCTACTGTCTGCTACATTTAAACTCAGGACACCACATTTTGATGCTGATATGTGACTCTTTCGAATTCTGGCATCTACTACAGGCACGTTTGAACAGATTTAGAGCTATAATTTTCCAGCGTGAGGCTATGTATACATGGCAGGTTATAATGTGACGTGAAGACAAAATAATTGTTTTGATTTATAAATGGGTCAGGGGTGGAGCAAAGGGAGCAACCCTTGTACCTTCATATCATCGTTAAAGTATGTACCTACGTAAAAAGATGTAGACAAGAGCTCCGTTAACCCATTAAAGATATTCTTTGCTAAATTTTAGATACTTCAGTATTATCTATCATAAAGTAAGAGTATCCGAAAAAATAACATATCAGATTACCGATGTATAGCACCGATCAGATGAGTATGGAAATACAGATTACTGACAATTATTGCTCAATCATTTTGTATTTATTATGATTGGTATTTTTTTTGTGGCTAAATACATAAATACAATATATATATATATATATATATATATATATAATTAGTATAATGGTAAGGTTAATTGGGTTAGCAGCTGATTAGGGTCAGCTGCTAACCCAATTAACCTTACCATTATACTAAATAATAATTGGACAGCTGTGATCATTCTTCCTTTATATATATATATATATATATATATATATATATATATACATATATATATATATATATATATATATATATATATATATATATATATACATATATATAATTTGGCAGTGAACATTTCAGCAAAAAAGTTATTTGCAGTGATACAGGCATGCTATTTAGAATGGCAGTGAATAAAATTAAGACAGCTAGATGGTAACCAAAGTTCTGAAAAGACATGGTACATGAAGAAGAAGTTATTCATTGTCGAATATATTTCGAACATTCTCCACATTCACTGATGTAAATATTGTATGATATGTTTATTATTTTTCACATAATGTGCAAGAAAAATAAGATTAATTACGACAATGAATAGTATATTTAGTTTCAGTTTAGAACAACCACTCTGTATTGGTATGTTTAATAATTTGCAGAATAATTGTGAAGCTGGTTTACGTCACTCAAAGGTCACACGTGATCTGGATATATTCTGTAGGCATTCCGGACAGGAACGGCAGAAGACTCGCAGAACAGGAGATAACATTCAGTTCAGTGCAATGCAACTCACCACGTAATAGAAGCATCGTATGTAAGTAAGGTGCGGATAATCCATCTCATCACGCTAAGACTAAGCTCACGGTTTTGATTCGGAAGACGGTGGCCCCAACTCAACATACTGTACGGTCCGTCTCCGGATCGTTAAGTTCTCTATCAATGAGTCACAGCGTTCCTACTCCGCTCAACATGTACGTAAGCACCTAGCATTGCAACTATTAATACGGAAGGCCTTTCTATTGACTTTCATAAAGAGTTGATACTCTACCATTATGTTAATAGAAGTAGTGAGATCACCTCTGGGAGCAAGTGACGAAAGTGGTTCTTTCTAGAACGATTAATTATATATGGTACTGTAGTCTTCAACCTCGACAAGGCGCGTCTTCATGGATAGGGAACGTCCTATAGATCTGATAAATTTTTTTATCTAAATAAGCACCCTTGGATCAACTGAGAGTATACCATGAGGCAGCATATATTTTATTACTAAATCAAACCTATTAAAGAATGTGTCGAGTAAATACTTAACGTTTATTTTAAAATCCCTTGTAATCAGCGTACCGTCTCTCCGGCTGAGGGCTGGTGAAGGCAATTAAAATTTAATGACTTTCGTCTGAGAATGTAGGGGTCCTCTTCTTTAAGTGCCGTCTCCCAATCGGAGGTTGGATATCATCATCACTATCTTTACCTTATCTACTGCTGCTCTAAAGAGTTCTATAGAACTGCATTTAAATCAGTTCCTTAAATTCTTCAACCACGACACTCTCCTTCTTCTTATACTCCGTAGGGGTATCTAATACCATATATTATAAAAATATATACAATAGTTAGGGTTAGTTAGTCGAATTTGTATCACCGAAAGAAACTGAATTAAATAAAACTTTTAAAGTCACATTTGTGTATTTTAATACAAAAGACATTTTTTTGTAATAGAAATTTAATTTTGTATATTTTCGAATCAGGAGTCTCTTGCGAAAATTAATCGTAGGACATTCCAAACATAATAATATGTCTTTAAGTATTTGATTTCAGATAACCACAGGTGACAGTCACATTGATTTAACCAGCTGTGATACTGTGATGAGGAAGGCAACGAAAAAACACCTTATTATTTATCCCCAGGTAAACCTCATCTTATTCAGACGAGGAAGTTGTCGAATTTTACAACCAAATATCAATAGCGCTAAACGAAACACCTACGCAATATGTTATAATATGTGGTGATTTTAATGCTAAATCTTGCAGCAGAACATGTGTTGACGAGACATATTAGGAAAATTTGGGTCAGACAAACGTAACGAAAGAGTAGAAACCCTGGTTGATTATTCCAAATGAATAGCTTCTTTCACAAAAAATAACAAAGAAGATGGACTTAGATTATATAATTAGCAACAAAAGAGTAATCGTGTAAGATGTGAATGTCCTAAACAAATTTTTTACAGGTAGTGATCATCGAATGGTACGCGCTAAAGTAAAAATATATCTAGACCAGGAAAGACATCGATTATTGAGAAAAAATGATATACATACATGGACACGACCAAGTGACGTCAAAATATACTAACAAGGCATTGAGACCAAATTAAAATCAAATACAAGGCCACCTCCTACTGAAGATAAATAAATAAAGATACATTGTCCAAAAATAAAGAACGAAGAGAAACTCAGCACTAAAACCAAAACCCTAATAAAACAAACTAAGGTACTTCAAAGAAAATTAAAAACTGAAGAGCCAAATAATCAAATTAAAAAACAAACAGGGTGAAATAATAACCAATAGGACTGAGTTGTTAAAATATGTGGAAGATTTCTATCAAGAACAATACAGTAGTAGACGGGTCACCGAAATAAAGATAAAAATATTTACAACTGAAAAAACCATATTAAATCAAGGTTCTGAACTAATGTCAGACATAATACTTAGTTAAATCAGACAAACAATGATGAAAGACAATAAATCACCAGGAGATGATGCACTAGTAATCGAATCCCTCAAGAATAGGATGCTTACGAAAAAAGTCGGACAGTCTAAATGGAATAAGGCAGTAACGATTCTGCTACACAAAAAAAAAGAGATAAAACTGATCCATTAGCCTGTTAAGCCATATGTACAAACTCTTCCCAAGAATCATAACAACGAGAATAGGACATACTATGGATTCCAAAAACAACTTCACTCAATAAATATCCAAAGAAAAACTATAATTATTATATACAAAACACTGCTGAGGCCGGTCCTCACATACGGGGCGGAAACATGGACTCTAACGCACAAGGATGAAAGACTTCTGGGAATATTCGAGCGTAAGATATTATGCAAAATATTTTGAGGTTGAAACGATCAAGGGCAGTGGCGCAAAAGATTTAATTTCGAATTATACCAACTTTTTAATGAACCAGATGCCATAACGTTCATTAAAACACAGCGACTTACATGAGCCGGGTAATAATGCGAATGCCTGACAACATGATTGCTAAAAAGCTAACGACAGGAACACCTATAGCAAGAAGTAGCGGCCAACCGCTAATTAGGTGGTTAGATGGAGAGATAAACAAAGCAGAGGAAGACCACCTACACGATACCATGACAATCTGCGAAAGATGATAAAAAATTGGATACATACTGCATAAGACCGTGCACTCTGGATACAAACAGGGGCGGCCTATGTGCTGCAGTGGACTTAAACCGAATTGATGATGATGATGAAACCTTTATCTTAATTGGAAACAAAAATAACCTGGCTCCAGTAACCGCCAGCTCTTAAATGGATAGAAAGTGCTAAAAATCTCCGGCTCAATCATGAGGAATAAAATTGTGAGAAGTATTTTTGCGAGTGGAAAGGCTCACAATGTAATTAAGGAAATGAATATGTATATTACGTATTCATATTATACTTGGTGTTAGCGAAATGAGTTGGCCAAATTATGGGACATCATATTTATTACACTGTTAATGATGATCTGCAACACTTGAATGCCGTGCCATAATGCACGTTCCCATTAAGTATTGTTAAAGATTACGTTGTTTTTGTAATGCTTCAAACGATGATATATTCTGTTGTTTCAGACAGATAGTTTAAACGCCAAAGTTTACACCAAATCATCAGCAATTAATATTTCAATGGGAGATTTTAATGCCAAAGTAGGATGTGGTAAAAGAGAATATAGTAGGTGCACACGGTTTGGGTGTGGCTAATGGTCGTACAAAAGTCTAGTACCATTTTGTCAAGATTTTGAAATAATGAATACCTTAT